CTTTTTCTCACCCATTTTTAAGCGCGCAAAAAGTGCAATAGAACATTTCGAAAACATAAATACATTTCGCCATGTAGCTGGGTTAGTGCTACAAGTGACCACCCATTAACATGCAATCTTTTCAGCCTCACTGCGGAGCACGTCGCAGTTCTCCAATACCTCATCCTGCCACTCTTCGCTTTCAAGCTCCTCGTCTGGCTGGTCCAATTTCTCGCAGGCGTCGAGCACGAAGTTTATACTTTCCAGCCTCTCGTTACGGCCCGGATGCGCCGGCGGCTGCTCGTCCGGAGCCTCTCCCCGCAGCCGCGCGCAACCCTGCTCAACACGGTCTGCGGGAGACTGCCTGCCACGCAACGCGCAGATGATCCGCAGTTTGAGCTCGTTGCCGTAAATCTCAGGCACTTGCGGCCCACCGATGCGCTCCTGCACGCTAGATATGGCGCTGTCAAGCCACTTGACCGAGTGCCCGATCGGGTGATCCCAGTCCTTGATGAAGTTGAGGATGTCATGGGCGTAGGGGAGGAGCGCAGCAAAGGCCACGGCTGTTCCAGCCTTGCCGCCGATCCGGAAAGTCTTAGCCACCTTGGACTTGAGTCTGCCGCCTAAGGTGATGTTAGTGGTGGGTATACGTTTTTTTTGCTCAACAAGCTTACCTGACGATGGCTTGCGGTTATACTTTGCTGGGTCGCAGACACCGCGCTGCCTTCCCCAGCAAGAGGGAGACGACTGGAGCGAGTAGTTCGGATTCTTAATCTTCTTACCCCGGGCTGTGGGCTTGTCCTCATGGATCTCGTATGCGTGCGAGATGCTGTCTCCGGGGACAGGGCCGGATGCCGCAAACTCTTGGTTGAAACGTGCAGCCCCGTCATTGGGGTAGATACCGGGAATCCAGTACCCGTTAGAAACATCCTTCGGCACCACTATGTAGATATAACCCGTGGTCATCTTCTCGCCTGTCCTACCAAAGGCATACCTTCCGGCTGCCTCTCGCGATCGGCTGAGTGAGACGTATCCTGAGTTGCCCGCAAAGCTGAGGTGGTTTTTTAGGCTCATATCGCTGCCCTGTGGCCGGAACCCTTCTTTGAAGATGATTTCTGGACGGCGTGAGTCGCCGCGGTAAAAAATCCCTTTTCTGTTTTGCGACGCCTTTATGTTGGCGGCCTCTTCTGCGCTGATCATCTCGGGGGCCGGGCCGAGCTGGCGACGGACCGGCTGTTGCCCCGGCTGTTGTGTTGATGTGGTGAAGTTATCTGGCATAGTCAAATTGGACAGCTGGTTTTCGTCACTGAAGAAGATATCGTTGAAGAAAATGTCAAGCATCGGCGGCGTCAGGACGGCGCTATCAACCTGGGCGCCATCGATCAACAGGATGTCGCTCTCCGCGGGAGAATGCGATTCCCTTGCCAGCTGCGGCGCGGCGAGGACATGGAGAGCAAATAGAGCTGCGAAAAGTTGAGCATACATATCTATGCTGGTATTCCTCTGGACTGTGCTTGTGATTCGGTTGTGCTTTTGACGGATGGCGAATATTGCCTGTCATTCGGATGTCGGTGACTTAATTATGATCATGATTAGAAGAGCGCAGTCTGTGATCGAGGTAAGTCACAAATTATAATGAATTAGGGAAATTGCATAGTTTCAAGTGTTAACGTATAAGCATGCCGTGATTGAGTCGTGCCTGACAGATGATTTCACAGCCACAAGTTACAACGCGACTATCCTGACTGAGTAGGTTAGTATTTAGGTGAAATACCATAGCATAATCTTGGCTATTGAAATCTGTCATGCGAAGCTGCATCGCCATGGTCTGACTGCCTAAACGGCCGACCTGCATTGATGCGGCCATTACTAGCGTAATAAAAAAAAGAAGAAAAAAAAAGAGAGGCATAGTAGGCATAACACTAAAGTTGTTAAGATCGGGTCGCTCATTCAGAGCAAACACGATATGCCATTTTCTGGTAATACTGCCTCTATCAAGAACACACAGGCGTTACCTTATTACCTAAGTGACGACTTGCCACCGGCAAGCGGTAATAGAAAGTTATAATACTACTGCCTAGGCAGCAGTATCCTAATGAGTATTTAATTTCGTATAATTCC